AGTTCGGCCCACCGCGATGGCCATTTCTTGGCCAAAAATCATCCAATTCTACTAAGGAACACCTTAAACGATTTGTATATCAATTCTCAGCCAATCTGCATCAAAATCTACCAACAAAATATTTTTTCGATTTTTTGTCAAATTTCCTGATGGGTCCCCTTGAAAATCCTGAAAAATGCATGGGGGCACAGTTCGGCCCACCGCGATGGCCATATCTTGGCCAAAAATCATCCGATTCTACTGAGGCATACCTTAAACGATTTGTAGATCAATTCTCTGTAAACCTGCATCAAAATCTACAAACAAAATATTTTTTAGATTTTTTGTCAAATTTTCTGATGGACCCCCTACGAAATCCTGAAAAATGCATGGGGGCACAGTTCGGCCCACCGCGATGGCCATATCTTGGCCAAAAATCATCCGATTCTACTGAGGCATACCTTAAACGATTTGTAGATTAATTATCTGTAAACCTGCATCAAAATCTACAAACAAAATATTTTTTAGATTTTTTGTCAAATTTCTTGATGGGTCCCCTTGAAAATCCTGAGTGGCCCCGCGGATATCTTGGCCAAATCACCATTCTAGACACCTTAAACTTTGAGCAATTCTGTAAATTGTAAAATTAAAAAAAATTTTTTGGGTTGTTTTCTTGGTGGGTCCCCTTAAAATTAAAAAAGGGCACAGTTCGGCCCACCGCGATGGCCATATCTGGGCCAAAAATCATCCGATTCTACTGGGGAACACCTTAAACGATTTGTAGATCAATTCTCAAGATTTTGTTTTTCAAGATTTCCAAGGGGGTCCATCGGGAAAAGAGCCAAAAAACCCCTAAAATGTGGACGTGTAGAAGTTATTGAACTTTAGGCAGCTCTTTAAAATTGCAGGGTTCTTTAAGAAAGTCAAAAAACTACCCTGATCAAGTATGTAAAGGACGTTTTTTCCATCTTATATATATAGACATCTCTTTACATAGCAAGTGAATTATCATAAGCAGTCACGTCAAGTGTTTGGCAAACTGGCAAACTGCTGCAGTGAAATTTCCACAGAGAGTGCAAAATAATCGGAATGCAAAATAGTTTCGCCAGCAGCAGCTGGGACCAAAAAAAGTGAACTTGACATTTGACATGTGACAGCGACTGTGACAGCCAGACAAATAAAATGTAAACAAAACAAAGGCCGAAATGCTGAGCTCCAAACCGAAATGAACAAAAAAACATCAGGCAGCAGTTGACAGCATCATAATTTGGTGAAAAGTTTTACCGCACTATTCAGGACTAAAATCCAACTCCTTCCAAAGGAAAAATGGTGGAAAATTGTTAATTAACAACCAGCTAACACGACTGTACCCTTTTTGAGAGAATTCAAGGTTACCATTAGCTAATTGGCCAAATGTGGCGTGACAAAATGAGCTGGAAAATGTCAGCATGCAAAAGCTGTTAAAAATATTTATGATATGCCAGATAAGGATTAGCCAGTTATTATTAAAACCCTTAAAGCCTTAGCTCCAAAGTAGCTTTAACACTGGAGTGTGAACATTACTTTTAGGTTTTTCTTAGCCCAAGGCTCCTCTCAATATAATATTTAAATTAGAATTGAAATGTTAAAAAGGCACGGAGGCCAGCAAACGGCACCAGGCTCATTGGCCATGACGGTGATAATCTACCCCAGAGACTAAACAGGCTCTGGGAAAAAATAAGGAAGGAGCCAGGACAAAATGCAAAACGACAGCCGACAACAAAGTGTCAAAGCTGCCAGACAACCGCCAGGAAGAAAAGATATAACCAACATTTTGTTAGACAACCGGCTGGAGAATGAAATGCATAATAAAAATTGTAGGAAACAAGTAGAGAGAAGTAAACCGCATGATAATCAAATTGGAAAGCCTCAAAGTAACTCCAAGAAAGGAGAGAAAAGAAAGTGTGGTAAGAAAAGCCTTTGAAAGTGATTGGCAATAGAATATATTTAAGGCAGGGAACATTGGCTAACATTGATTTCATTTGGTTAACAATACCACAAAGTGGCTACTTAAAAAAAAGGAGTTCTTTTAAATTCTAGAATCCAACTTAAAGTCAACTCGGACAATCCAATCCAGTTGTATAATTCCTTTTGACCAAAGGCCTTTATTTCTGGAGTGTCACAATCCTAGACAACCTATCCTATCCGTTTACTACAGAGTTTCAAAACCTTTTATGCTGCAACTGGCCAGCAGCCAACTCGACACTGTTCCAAATACGATGAAAATTAAACAAGAGTCTACCCAGTGCCTACCAAAGAGGGACCATTTCGGTCCGACTCTGCCTGGTCACGCACTCTCGTTTGGCATTCATAAATCGCTTACCAAACTGAAATCTTAATCAGATTTGTGCAGCAGCAACTCTGATGGCATTTGGCAGATCCTGCCGACCTGTCCGGGCCATAAATAGCAATTTGCCGGGCAATCTGCGCTCCGGGGCAGAATTAAGTGCGTTTTATTGGAGAATTTGCGAGCCACTTTGATTTTGATTGGCAGGTAGGCTCTGGAACTTTGAATGGAGCTCGTCGAAATTCCTGCTGCAATTCAAATGCCTTAACTAATTTCATTAGTCTGTATACACAACATTCTCGTAGACCAGCTGTTTAGCCAGTTAATTAAATTTGATTTGGCCAAACACAAAGCTGGCGAGCCATCAATTATGAAGGATGTAGTGCAGGTTCGTGCTTTTAGTTTCAATTACACTTGCATTGGAAACCGAAATGATCAATTGAATATTCAGGATATGCTCTAATGGAAAATGTTGATACTTAGTCAACTCCCAGGGTTAGAAATACATAGTAGAAGAGAGAGTCGAACGATAGGCTGTGGGATTAATAAATCATTAAAGCAATTCAAGTCAAAGTGGCCCCCTTAAAGTAAAAACTTTTCCTTTAATTTAATTCTTAAATAAAGAAAAAGAACCCATTAGTTTTGTACAATTTTGTCCACCCCCGTCAGAACTTTCTGCCACTGCAGGCAAACATCATAAAACCCTTGAAAGGTTTTCTTCTGCCACCCTCTTAGGACAGAAAAGAATAAAACACAAAACACTTGACCGCCTGACCTAAATTTCCCAACCAGAGCAGGATCAACGACTTTCGTCGACTGTCCTGTACCCTTAGGTCAAAAGTCAAATGTCAACAAAAATGAGCGAAGGCGGACAAGGAAAATGTTTTAAAAATTCCAACACGTAGGCAATTTCTGGATGATGCGCATAAAACAAGCAACCCGGAGTCGAGGGCCCGAGAACTATGAGAGCAAACTCACGTGTGGGGGCGGAGAACCAAGAATTTCCGCAAAAATATAAAGGGTTAGATCTGAGTCGCCTCATTAGACACTCCGGCAGCGGCAGCAGCAGCAGAACCAGTAGTCATGATTTCCACTCTGGCAATCTTCTCACATAACTTGGCCCGAGGCGAGAATTGACGTAAATTGATTTGAGCCTTGATAAATTTCAAATGCCTTTGCAACTCCACCACCTGCCTGGAAAATTAAAGATTGCCGCCGCCGGAGCAGCCTTCCCTTCTGCTTTTTGGCTGTTTAGTGTTTGATAAGCTCCATGCTGGCACGTACCACATTTTAGCACACTATTTGGGATGCGAATGCGGATGCGGGTATACCATCCGCCCTAGAAATGTGTCAATTTGGCGTCAAAGACATTGACGGAGCAACAACATGTTTACATTAGCAATAAAACAGGCGCAGTACCAGCCGAATTTCAAGACTGCCAGGGCTGCCAGGCGGAAGCAGAAATCCAGAGGTGTTTGCCCGACTCACGTATTGATGGAATTAGGGGGAGTCGAGAGCCTCCGAGCTGTGTTCCCCCTACCCAGACCAGCCAGACAATAACTATAATTGTCGCATCAGCATTTTTTCCGGTCTTAGCCTCAGCCTCGGAGCCAAAACGAGCCTGGGAAGGAGGTAAATTCCATTAAACAGACTCGGAATCAGACGGAGACACAGACAGAGATGCCTGAAGGCTCGTCAAGCGATTCCATTTGTAAGTCTGCCCCCAGACTTCTGCTTCCCAGCAGCCTACAGTCTGAGGATTGTGGATGATGCCAGGATACTGGTTGAGCTGTGAGGGGCATATAAAAAAATTCTTGAATTAAAGTCAATTTGAAGACGAGTCAAATGATGATGATGGGGCCACGAAGTGAAAGTTAATGCTGATTAGGAAAATTGAAGCTATAATATTCGGAGGAAATCGGGAAAACAAGCTACATAAATAATGATGATGTCTTGAAAGCATAGGTTTCAAGTCAGGATTAGAAATTTTATAATCTATACTTACGTGGCTTAATGGAAACTGCACCAAGACTCAATTGAATCGATAACTTCAGGTTGCCTTACTTTGGCACTTTCCTATAAGCTCTAACGCTGCACAACAACCCCATACATTGCTCCATTACCCTCTTTTTTTGGGCCAAACAATCGAGTTTCCAATTTCCAGCATTAATTAACAATTGGTTTGGATGGCACTCGGAGCTGGAATTTGTAAGCCATACCAGACACAATAGCCAACAGAGAAAGGGAGCCAGCTGGCAGTGGCCTGGGCAACGTTTATTTTACGAGAACATTTTAATCTAATTTAGCACACTTTAGATTTATATTTGCTTAAATAGAAGTTATCTGAATGGCACGTGCCGGGCATAAGAAAATAGCAACAACAATGGAAGGCGCTGGTGGTCAGTGGCCGACAACAGGGCCCAGAGAATTGGCCAAAAGGCCAACAAAGGATCCGCAGAAGCAATTTTATTATAGTTTATTTCGTTGGTCGTTGGTCCTTTGGAATATTTCGGAGACGTGTTGCAGTGCTGGCTCTAGCTCGAATGCAATTGCAGCATCCTGTCCCCCAAGCCCCTTCTACAAACACAATTTCCTTTAGTGCAGGACGTTTACTACTTAAATGCAATCAATTGTGGCAATTGGTCGTCCCTTTAAGTCTGCCCAAGGATGGTCTAACCTTGTAATCGAGTTTTTCTTAGCCATAAACGCGTCTCAGTAGGGTGAAAAAGGAGTAGATGGCGTTCAACAGCGACTGCAACATTTTCAGATTCATGGGGTAGGTGCCCCCCACGAGAATCTGAAAAGCAAATAATGGCTAATAATACAATCTCAAGATGTTGAAAGAACCTCACCGCCAAAGGCTTTTGTGAACGCATTATGAGGAACTTCAAAGTCTTTTGTGTATCCACATCGTAGTCCATCCAATTGCTCTCGTAGGCAGCAATGGCAATTTCAAAGCTCTGAAAGGAAGTTCAATTGGTTTCCTTCAAGGAAATCTTTGGGGAATTCTTACTTGAAAGAATAGCTCGTTGGCCACATAGTAGAGCACCACACTGTTGGCAAATATCATAAGAATATAGGCAATGACAATCACGGTCTGGGCAATGGTTTGGGCCTGAAAGGATGCCAATTAATTAGTTTTTTGATTCAAACGAGTAATTATACCCACAATTATAAGGGAGAAGAGTAAAACACATAGCATGGCACCAAAGCATAGAAACTCTACCAAATGGAGATGAGTATTCAAGGCATTCATGGAGTCTACTAATCTACAAAAATAGATTTAATAATTTTAAAAATTAAGAGTAGTTAAGAAGCTTACCCGCTCAACTTTAGCTGATATCTTATGCACCATATGATTTCCCTTCGAACTTGTGTTTCTTTCAGCTTTTCCAAGCTTCTCAGCTTGTGTTGCAGCACTCGACACATTAATATGGCAAAAAGGGTAAAGGTCACCACCATATTGGTATAGGGAATGTACATGCAACAGCCCATGGGAGCCATAATGGCTTGAATTACAAAGAACACCTCATAGAAGGGCGAGGCATATTTGTACTCATCAATTAGGGGCAAGTACATTCCATAGGGAAGAACTAAAAAAATGAATATTAATAACTAGAAATAAAACAGGGAAAATAGTCACCTCTTTCTGAACCAAAAATGGGATAGGTTACAAAGCCTATGCAAGTGCAAGTGCCCATCATAAGGTTTATTCTTCCTATGAAGTTAGACATTCGAGTAGTTTCCTCAACTAAATTGGCAATAACAGGATCATCAGATTCCTAAGAGATTGGCAGGATAATCAGGATAGTAAAAAAAACTGTTAAAATGTCTTACCAATAACTGAATGTAGTAGGACTTGAGTACTTCTATAAATTTCTCATAACTCGACCGCTGGACACACAATAGAACACCTCTAACAACAGTATTTGTAAACAACACAGCCAGATATACATTCCTGATGATAAAATCCAAGGGTTCAGTACTCAGATATATGTCCACATACTGAGTACTGTTTATGATCATATAGGGAGCCATGGCCATGTAGCGACGCCAATTGTGAACAAAGAGATACGACCAGAACTTCATGAGCTTCAAGGTGTTGCCAAAAAGAGGCATATTCACAGTATCCATCGATTTTAAGTCCATACTGATAGGTGTAAGGTCCTCTGAGGTGTGAATTACCCAGAACATATCACCTTTGTTTTATAGATATCCGAAGATATTCAAGCCACCCCTTATTATGGCTTTATTATTGGCCCTAATTAATGGGTTTACGTTGTTATCGAGGGCGGGAATATGTGTTAATTAGTGCCCTGAGTGTAGTTATTAGAGGTGTTTGTACGACAATTGAATTTAAAGGGGAGATGGATATTGAAGCCAGCTTTAAATTAAAACTTTTTGTAACTATTTAAAGCTTGCCGCAGGAATAACAGACTAAACAACTTCATTTTTCATGGCCGCCTCTTCGTAGTCCGATACAAAATCTTAATCGCTGGCAATTTGTCTGGTTTTTGGCCAAAGGAACCCTTAGAAAAGGCAGAAACCTCAAGACCAACCCCAAGCAAACAAAAGGCCTTCGAAGGCCAACCTTTTTCATCGACGACCCTACAACAAACCAACTACACATGTTGCAGACTCCCAATTCAGAGTGCCAATTACAAGTTGTAGACCCTCGACTTCTTTGAACTTTGAACTCACAGCACAGAAGGCATCCCAGTATTTATGGGATGGAAGCCGAATCATTTGTCATTAAGTTGCCTGGACGGGCGGGCACCTAAGGAATTTATTTTATTGCCAAGATTGCGAATCTTAATTGAGTTGCAATTGGAAAATATTTGTAGTGTGGACAATGGCACAGTAAATATGATATCAATCACACAAGTTATTAAAGAATAAGAAAACTTTCGTCTTAATTACATTCCAAAGATAAATTGCGTATACGCCCTGGTGTTGTTTATCCCGGAGCTTGGCTGTCACTTAAGCTTACTATCAAGGTGTTACTTACGCTTGATTTGCTTTATGATTCATGGGCACCGACCCCCCGTCCTCATGGTGGCCTGTCTGGCAGCTGTCTTAAAACGAAACTTAGTTAGTTAGTCGTTGTGTGAAAAGTGCACTGAACAAAAGTTTTCATGGCTTAAAGGAAGCTCTTCGCACGATGACGCCATGTATTTGGCAGTTAGTTTTTACGTCTGCCAATTATAATTTTAATTGGCAAAACGTGGCCATTAACGGAGCCAACTATAAAAGGCATTAAGGCTGCAAATGGCTTCAAATATTCACAACTTGCCGGAAAAATATCTTAATATTATCCGATATGCTTCAAGTGTTCTTCAACCCAAAAAAAAAATAAAGGAGAATTAGAGAAAAACAAGCTGCAGGGCACACCTTTTTGCGAAACCGGAAACTAACAAGCACAAAAAGGACGAAACAGTTGAACTTGTAGCTTGCAGCTCGTAGCTTGTATCTTGTATCTGGGATCTACGCCGGGGAAGCACTTAACACGCGTTATGAGGAGATGCCAAGGGCCGAGGTGGAAAATGCAAGAAACTTGCAACTTTTCCTAGCTGCTAAGTAGGAAAATCGCTCCAAGACAGCCAAGCGCCAGACAGGAGCTAAAAAACTAGTAGAACGGGCGCAACTACGTGTCATATGACAAGTGAAATGTGCGCAAAATTACTTGTTTAGTTGCGGTTAAGACGCCTCAGACTGCCTCAGACCGTGTTTATGAAACCAACTACGAATGTTTGCATTTCTTGAGGTTTGCTTTATGAATTGTATAGCTAAGCGGGATGAGCATGCTAAGCATTTGCCTCAAAAACCTTGTAGAATTTAATAAATGAAAATGGGTTTTTGTTAAATTCAGTTTCTGCAATTTTTATGCCTTTCACGTGGCCAGCAGCCCTAAGGGTGGCCAGAAAGAGGAAAGTTTGTTCCACTTTTCTTTTTCTTTTCACTGTTTTGTTCATGTTTTTCCCAGTCTCAAGGAAACCTCGGGGGATGTCATTTTCAGGCGGCAAGTGTAAAAATTAAGCGCCAAGAGGGCGAGGCAATAAGTGAGATAAAATTACATGCGTGTGGGTATAGCGGGCTGGCTAAAAGTAATTGTAAAGTATGCTAAGAGGCGTGGCTTGACAGCCTCTAGAGATGCGTTTCCTTTCGGCAGGACACAAAGGAAATGTAGAACAAGGTTTCTTCGCCTCTTCATGTGGGTAATTAGACTGAGTCTTTCCGCCAAGAGTCGGCCAAAAGTGTCGGCCGGAATTAAAGACAAATTCATAACCATTCCTCCCTTTAAGAGAATGAATTTCCATTTTTTTGGCCTTCCATATAGAACGTGCTGAGAGATGTGACGAAACTTTTTCAATCTAAAATTATCAAAGTAAACATCAAAGTTGATACAGGAGCAAAAAGCTTCAACAAATTAGCAAAATGGTAGGAAAACTGAAGAGCCAACCGGGAAAAAAACTGTCAACATGAAAGGGACACGGGAAAAACTTTCCCGAGCCGAAACATAACAAACATTTTCTCACCTCATGAGTGGAATTTAAATTTTTGTCCCAAAGAATTTCCTCTCCTTTCACCAACTGTATGTGTGTTTGTCTGGGTATTTTTGTTAGCCTGTTATGTTTGTTACTCATACGCCCCGTGTGACGCTGGTGTCTGTAAAATTTCATATCAATTTCGTTGGGATTAAGTTATATTTTAGTGCTCGGCAAGGTGTTTATATAGCAAGTTGTGTGAGTTGCCTGCTGAGATTTCGAGCACGTGCTAGTCCTCAAGGCTTTCACACTTTTGTGAGCTCTGGGTTTTTTTCTTCTTTATTTTTTTTCCCAAGCAGAGTGGAAATTGTCGTTCAGAACAAAATATTGATACTGCCTCAAGAGCTTGGCAAAGACAAGAGAAATGTTTTTGGTTGAGGAAGCAATGTTTTTTTTAAAAGTTTTACTTAATTTTATTAAAAATATTGATTCTTGAGAACAAATACATTTTTTAAGGTATTCCTCTATAACTTCTTATGTGAATAACCAAATACATATATGGAAAGCCTTGTGTCTCATATCCACCTAGAAGCCTTTCAATATCTTTAAAATTCATTACATTTAATTTTATGCCCAAAAACTTTAACTAAACACTTTTGAATCACAATCCTCCCCTCTTTTTATAAATTTATTTTTATAGTACATCCACATCTGAGCTTCCACACGAACATATATATTTTTCCCCTTCTTTTTGCCGCATTGTCATTTCATCATTTTACTTAATTCAATGAGTTTAGTGACTTAAACTACACACATGTGAGTACGCACTTATGGTACTGTGACCCCCACAGTCCACCACCCCAACATGGACCCATGGATGTACAAATCATAAAAGTCATGACCCGGACAGTTCATAAAAAATGCGGCCCAGAGCAGCAATTGCCATACAAACAGGCGCATTACAGCAGAGTGAGGTGGGTATTACTTTTGGGGGAGTATGGAGACCCCAATTCTGAACACAAATCCCGATTCACAGCATGACCGGCATATAATTCAAACACGTACCAATACGAGGCGGAGGTACTACGTACATGTACAGACCTGGGCAAAACGATTTGGCCAACGGTAATCAGGCAATTTCATATGAATAAGTAAGCAGGCTATGCCGCCTGAGTGTATGCAATAAATTTCGTTGTATTACGAATGCTACGTCGGCGCTCCTTATGAAAATTTTAAAAGCCACCAAACTATGCACCCGGCTGTGATTGCTTCCATTCCAGCACTGGTTCAGTTTCAGTCCTTAGTTTCTTGTCCCTATACCAACTACGATGCCGAACAACAGCAAAATAGAAATTTATTACCAGGAAACGTGCAGGAGGAGGCCCAGTCAAGGTGTTTATTACTTATTTAGAGCGGCAGTGCCTGGGAAACTTTGGAGAAGAGGGGTCGAGCCGACTTCTTTCGAGATGTAGGGATAGCAAAAAATTGTGGAGAGAAGTAGAAACAGAATAGAAATTAAGATACCCTATAAATAAAGATTTTTCCAAATTTCTAAGACCTTTCAAGCCGCAAAAATCTTTTTTTAATTTGTGCTAAAAAATGGTTTAAGAGTTTCATCAAAATTAAAAAAAATAATCCTTAAAATCAAACCATCCTATAGCTAAAAGCCAGCATCGACAGGTAACAGGTACCTCTGGTTTTAAGCCCTCTCAGCGGGGCGGGAGTTCAGCTACTTGACGGGAACCCCACCGAGAGAGAACGTGCCTGAGGCTTTGGGGCTATCAAGTGGCAATCGAGGACCTCTCCGTGGACTGGAATATACGCACTGAGGCAAGGAGCGTGATCGTGAGGTAGCGACCTGCTGCCACTAAACATTTTAATTAGAAAATTTTGCACAGCCAGTTGAGCCGACCACAAATCCAATTATCAAGTAATTATGCATTTAATTTGGCACAGCGAGTATTGGTGAGGGGAATACGAGTAGCAGGGAGCTAGGCGAAAAGGGAGCAAAGCGGTGAAGTGGCTAACAGACTCTCATCCTGGGCGGCCATTAATGCAGATGGCTGGCCATCAAATCAGCTCAGCTCAACACTTTCAACAAACAAACATGCCCATGACTATGCAAAATAACAAAAACTTTTTGCCGCATAACTTCCAGCTCCAAGGCTTGAAAATTTCAATTTTGCGTGTGTGTGTGGGCTTACTGTACTATCTGGCGAGCAATTAAAAGTTTGTTCCATGTTTTGTCTGCCACCCAGACGCTTATTACAAATGTCGAGACCAGCCGCCGACCACAATCAAAGAGGTCAAGTGCAGTAGTCTGCAAGTGTTTTTCATGCAATTCGAGTCGAGTGTTTAATTTATGGCGCCCCGTCTTGTAATTGGCCCAGGTCGTGGTTCGGGGATTGAACAACTTTTATCCACCGTTGAGATTATATTTTCCCATTTTTTTATTGGTTAAAAATTCCCATAAAACTGTCAACATGCAAGCGTTTGTTTGCTGAACCAATAGGAAAATATTTGCCATTTCAATTCGAAAGGGGCTTACATTTTTTTCCACTTTTCTCTCTACGTTTTTTTTTTGGCAAAGACAGCCACAAAAAGTGACCCAAAATTTATGTGGTGACCTGGTTTAAAATCGGCTTACTGCAGTCCACAAATTTT